TTCTTTACTGCACCACAGTTCAAAGATATAATTTCTTCCTCATTTCCTGTCCACCTTTCACATGTATGTAAAGCAACTGAAAGTGTCATCATTTCTGTCAGGTGTACTGTAGTCTTTACAGTGATATTTGTGCTCTTTAGAGTTAACCAATTCATTAAGTCTTTTTATTTATTTATTTTTTTGACTGCTGTTTTCATGGGTGTTGGTTGCAGAGCCAAGTGAAATGAAACCTTTGACAAGTTTAATCTTTCTCTACTTACCATGGTGTTGTCTGTTGGTCCAGTTGTAAGGATCTGTGTTTTCTTGATGTGCAGATGTGATCTCTACTGAAGGCTGGACCGTGCTGAAGCATCAGACGTGCAGTTAGAAGGAGAAAGGCAGGGACAGTCAGTGATGACATAGATGAGCAGTGGCCGCCATTCTGCAGCTGTCATCTTCGTATAGCTCAGAAACCGAGTTTCTCTAGCAGCTCACAAGGAAGGTAGCACATTTTAAAGGGCAGCATAGAAACAGACATGAACACCATCAATCTATTCATTTCTAGAAACAACTTGTTCAGGTTCTATATGCAAGTATATTCTAAAGTCAGAAAAAGAGAAATCCATCATTTCATTAGTGCTGAGTTCCCTTTGTTCCAGGAACTGGGCTGTTTCATCATGAAATGGAATAAAGGTCAAAAGTGAAACAATGACAATTCTACTTTCAGATGGATTCTAGTAATTTTAGTAATGACAGTATCTTTATTCAGACTGGTTCTATTTCTGTCTTTGTTAAAGTTCCAAGATAGCCTATGATAGATGGCAAATTATCTTATTTCCATGAAGTTATCAGTAGTGACTTTGGTACATTCTTCTCCAATTAGTAGAATTAAATTGTCTTAGCTATCAGAGCTGCTATGACAGAAATACCAAAAGCAGATAGCTTTAACGAGCAGAAATGTGTTCTTGTCTTTCACAGTTTAAGGGGCTATAGGAGTGCGTTTGGAGTGCTGGTTCTACAGCTGCTGTTGTTAGGGATCACTGAGTCCCCATTTCACTACATAGTGACCCTATGAACCACGGTCTGAACCTTGTTCTGCCTTGTGCCTTCCTCATCATCTCTGACAAGTTTGAACCTATCGCTGGAGTTCTTATGTCAATCCATCGCGCTGAGGGTCTTCTCTTTTACTGACCCTCCACCTTTCCAAGCATGATGTCTCTATCCAAGGACAAGACCCTCCTAACAACAGCGGAAAATAAGTGAAGCAAAGTTTTGCCATCTTTGCCTCTAAGAAGTACCCAAGCTACACTTTCTCTAAAACATATCGGTCTGTTCTTCTGGCACTCTGTAGGAAATTCAGTACTCTTCTCCAACACCACAACTCAAAAGCATCACTTCTTCTCCTGTCATCCTGATTCATTGTCAGACTCTCAGATGTATAGTAAGTGATTGAAAAGACCATGGCTTCAATCAGATACAGTCTTTAGACTGACATCATTGCTCCTTAGTGCTTTGGAGAGGCCCTAGACAGCAGACTTTCCCAATGCAGTACATGTTTTGATTTCTTTTCTGCTGGTACCAAGAGTGCTGGCTCTAGGCGAAGGCATTTTCTCTCTTTCCTGGTTCTAGGAGGTTCCTATGTCAGGAATCCTTGTTCTAGAATGTATGAGCACTCTACTACAGCTGTTCTTTTTTGATGTTACTCTGGTTCTTCTGTGTTCATTTTTCTCTCTTAAAAGGCCAAAGATGATGGATGATGCAGGCCACACCCCAGAACTCCCGATAGAGTCACAGCTGTAACCTGATTAAGGGGTGTTACATTCCACCCTCATCTTCTTATGTCACAGCAGGGTTGTCACCTGAGTAAGGGTATTGAATCTCATCTTAATCCACTTAACACCAAATCAGGGCTGATTATGTCAGATCACACCGTGTAGGATGTATTACATCATTAAAACCTCCCAATGCCTCGTTTCATAGCTTCTAAACCACTGAGAGTTAGGGCCCAGCCAAGTGGATACGTATTTTCGGGGGGACACTGTTCAGTGCATACCACAGACAAAATGTATTTGGTTACTAGTTACACCTCTTTGAAAAAGGATATGTAATGACACACATAATAAGGTTTAATTTGCACTCTTTAAATATAAGCATATGCAAATTAGAAAGCACAATATTTTCCACAACATCTCCTTGTATGATAGATTGAATTAGATAATAGTTTATCCCAATGAGAAAAAAATTTCAAATGATTCACAAAGGATTGCTAATTAAAGCGACAACACACTGTGTATGTATAATCATGGTAGTTTGTTGTTGCGTACCATGAAATGTGAACCCACCCATAGCTAGTGCTCCACACGTGGATTCAAACTGCGTACCCCTAACTGGTAGTGCAGTTCCTTACCTCTAACCCAGCAGAGCCCTTCACAGTAGCATAGCTGACCCCAGAGTACTCTTATCTTAGTAGCAAATGCATAGATAATTAACACCTCAGATTATCTGAAGGCTTCTTCAAGCTAAGTTTTTGTTTGGAGAGAAAATGATCTTTTCATTTACTTTTTTACTCTTATTTTGTGTTCCTAAACCCAGACATGAAATAATACTCGTATGTGGCTCACTTCACACAGTTCGTGTTATAAATGGGGTGGGGTAGACAAGCAATGTGGTGAAAAATTACATACTCCCTGAAAAATTATTTGTGACTTTTTAAAAATTTACTCCATTTTTGTAATTATATCACTGTGATATTTTATAATAAATTCTATCATATTCATAAAATACACATATTGTTGACTGCCTTTGAGTTGAGCACAGCTCATAGAGACTCTATGAACAAAAGGCCTGAAGCCCTTCTATAACTCTTGACCTTTATTAAAGTCCATAGAGTTTCCAGAAGCATGTTGTTTAGGAAGTGGATGCCAGTCCTGCATAGTGTGTATAAAATTGTATACGTGTATATCTCTGTGTATATATATTTTTAATTTTTTTCTTTTTTGGTATCAGGTGACTTATGCAGTGTCATTGCTAATAATCCTTAGTTTTCATAATTAAAGTTTCCTTACATAATTTCTTTTGAAAGGTTTCTGAAATCTAAAAGCCTGTGACCCACTTACTATTTCTCTACTATTCCACGCAGAGGGGTGAAAATTATTCCAGTGTTTTTTAAATCAATTATTTAGGCACATAGTGAAAGTATACAATCAATCAAAACAATAACTCCTTTCCATTAACTCAGAACTGACTCATAACTGAGCTTCCAGTGGGTTTTCTGAGACTGTGAATTGCACATGAGAAGATTTTCCATCCTTGTCCTGGGGAGCAGCTGGTGGATTCAAACCCTCACCTTTGGATTGACAGTGCAGCTTCCTACTGACGAGGCCACCAGAGCTCTCTGGTAATAGAAGCACACACACAAAAGGAGATCACTGACTAGTGCAAAGTAGAGTGTGCAAAATTGTGAGTGGAATATTAGGAGCAGTTATAGCCAGAGTAGTAAGAGATCTTGGCAATAGAGGACAAAATAATATTTTATAATTGGTGGCCTAGCAGTAAAAATCAGCGCTGCAGTCCTGACGGCAAGTGGTTCAAATCCACCAGCTGCTCCCTGGGAGGATGGGCAGTGTTCTCCCGCATGATTAACTGCCTCTAAAAACCTGCTGGAGGGTCAGCCATGGGTCGGTTCCAACTTGATGGTACTCAAAAACAACTATTAAAAATAGTAGCAAACATTTGGGAAACAAAATTTTTAATAAATGAATTCAGATATAGTACATATAAAGTAAAAAATTTAAGAATAAAATAAAGGAAACAATATTACTGAAATGATAGTACTAACATTTTTGTGATTTTTAAAGTATACTTACTATAAATGTATTTATAAAAAATATAAAATATAAGTAATAAAGCAGCTGAGTGTCTTATATAATGAGTAAGTAGGTCAAAGAAAATGTTTATATTTAATACCTAAAAAACAAAATAATTAATATTTATGTTGAACCTCTAGGTTGTTTTTGTGTAAAGTTACATTCAGAAGCATAACATAATTTACACCATTATTAAAATGAATACATGAGTTTATTTGTTAATTGAGACACATATGAAATCTCTAAGTAGTTTCACTAAATAAACTTTAGCATCACAGTATTTCTACATGATAAAAAAATTACTTAGCAATGAAAATTTAACACTAATTGATCAATCTGCGTAGACATACTTTTAAAGCAATATTGATTTGACCTTGCATTCCCATATAATTTCTCCTCATCAAAGTGCTTATGAAGTAGCAAGCCATCATGAATATTTGATAAATACAGAAAACATTTATAGGAGTCAGCAGCAGAACTTTCCTACTTGCTTCATCAGCATCTTCCCAGATCACTACATATCCTGCACATTAGTTTGTAACAATGCCTGGAGTAATAATCTGTAACTTTAAGAGACATTTTGAATCAGTATCATCTCCATAAGAGTTAATTCCAGATAGTGTTATGTTTTCAGTTGGGTTTTGTGGTAAAACAGCAGCATTTGCTTCCTTGAATCCCTTAAACCAAGTGTCCTAACCTACCAAACTCTGTTAGCCAAACCCCAAACCGAGTGTGGTAATATTAAGGCAACTTTGAAGAGTTCACACCAATGACCCTGCATTGACTATGGTAAAATTTTTATCTTTAAAAATTATAAAGTATTTACATATAAGGTCCAGAGTTATACTACATTAGTTAAGTTTTGACAATATTACAGAAATATTTGTGATTTGAAAAGCCTGTCTATTATTGCCCTAGAATACATTTTATTATAGCTGGTTTTCTCTCTATGAATATGAGTGGCAAAAATATGGAAAGAATAAAATAAATAAATAAACGCCTTAAAGGAGACTCATCCATGGCAGTCACCTGAGCTTTGTACACTGCGTGGGTTGTTGGGCGGGGAAGGGGGACGACACTGTGTGACTCTTCTTTGCCATCGTGGATATGTCCTCCGTCTACAACATTAAATCCTTACTGCTCCCTGTCTTACAGATGACACAGGTTGTCCTAGTAGTCAGTCAGTGTCTCCTGTGAAGACTCCCTCAGATACTGGAAACAGCCCAGTCGGCTTTTGCCCTGGAAGTGATGAAGACTTTACGAGAAAGAAGAGCACAATTGGGAGCATTGGTGATGGAAGCGTCCAGTCAGCTCGACATAAGAAGGAGCCGAAGTCCGGCCTTGTAAAGCCAGGTACGTCTTTTTACCATTGATTTTTTTTTCCAGTGCAGTATCACTGGAGGAATTTCACAGTTGAAACAAAAACAGTGTATCAAGTCAAGGACTATTAATGCTTTGCTGTCTGTATCCAGTACCCCCCAAAACTGTATATTTGTCCTGTCCTATTCTGTGCTGTCCTCGTCATCTCTGACATACTTGAGTCCATTGCTGCGGTCATTGTGTCCATCTCATTGAGAGTCTTTGCCTCTTTTATTGAGCCACCACCTTTCCGAGGTTGATATCTTCCTTCAAAGAGTGGCTCCTTCTAACAGTGCGCTCAGAGACTATGAGATGGAAGTTTCACCGTCCTTGCTGCCAAGGACCATGGTGTTTTCACTTTCTCCAAGGCAGGTCCTTTGTTCTCTTGGCAACCTATGGAGCTTATTTAAGATATGTTGACCTCAACAGCATAGGCTGCCTATGGGCTTGAGAAGACAAAATATTGCAGAAGATGATGTCAACATGATAGGTTGCAAAGAAAAAGTAGATTTCATGGTAAAAATATGTGGAATTTGAACACAATGTGAAATTATTTAAATTTTATTGGTTTTCCTCTGTCTCGTTCTAAAATATTTTAGATAATGGCAATACAAGGAAGCATAATAAAACAGGAGACAAGGTGTAGCAAGAATAAAACTAAGTTTAACGAGAGTATTATTGCTCTTCCTTGTTTCAGTTCTCATCACAATAATAATCTGCTCACATAATTAAAACACTACTGCATACCTACAGAATTCATATCATGCAGGTCCTTTAATGCTCCAGAAAGTACCCACTTGCTAACAATCATCCATTTGTCTTGTTGAGAATGTTTATAGCCTTTGATTTATGAAGAAATCTCAGACAAAAAGAGAAAAGAGACAATAAAAGAAAACTGCTATTCTCAATGATGTTGTGATTCATAGTCCTTTTGGAAACAAAGCTTCAGACCAGCACATGCCAGTGGAGCTCCAAGGCTCTGCATTTCAATCCTGGATGCATCAAATCACAACCTATGGCTGATCGAAGTTCTCTTAGAATCACCTGAGAGATTTATTAATGAGTAGATCTGGGTGGAAATGCAGATTTTGTTAAGGGAGTGTGTCAAACCAGAATGAGCCAGTTTGAAAATGACGCCACGTGGGGAACCCGTACTCTAGAATAAAACTACCTTTTACAGAAATACTGTGAACTTTTGTCAGCAGTTTAATGGATTATTTTTAGGATTTATCAACCAGAGGCTGATGATCATTGCCGATTGAGAGATTGCCAACTGCTTCAGCTTTAATTGCTCGAGTCAAAACCAAGGCCACTACAGTCAAGTTGATTCTGACTCAGGGCGACCTCCCTTTGGGTTTGCAAGGCTATTAATCTTAAAATTATTTATCCCTTTCCTTTGGAGCATCTGGTGGGTTTGAACTACTAACTTTTCCATTGCCAACCCAACACTTAACCTGTTATACCACCAGTGCTGCTTTTAATTGCATGGACTCACTCACACAGTCATTGCTGTCAAGTCACGGCTGACTCACAGTGACCTTCCATTGAGTTTCTGAGGCTGTAAATAACAGCCAAGAAGATTGCCTCTCTCCCATGGAACCACAGGTGGATTTGGACCACCAGAGAGGCCCAACATTGGGAAAGCAGTCCAGTTCTCTATGAACTACACAACCACAGCTCCCTGCTGGTTCATGGTTCTTGGATGGTGCCCTTGAGGTAACTACTCGTAACAACGCTGTGAACAACGGAACCAGAACAGCATGCCTTACCCTGGCCGGCGCCGTCCTTACAATCCCCACCCCCCCATGCTTAAACCTATGGCTATCGTCACTGTAACAATCCATCTCATTGAGGGTCTTTTTCTCTTCCACATGATCTTCTGCTTTGCCAAGCAAATTGCTCATAGGCATCAGTAAAAAGAAGTCATTCTTATCTGATGATTTATTTATTTATTTGCCCTCAGTCATCAGCTAAGGAATCCTGAAGGTTTATTTCTTAGTTTCCTGAAATTGCTACTGTCATCCCTGAATAAGCAAGAGCTTTTGAATGCGACCCAATGCTGTACAGTAATCTTTTTATATTTGAGACAAATCTGCACCGTGACCTATAGTTCTTTGAACTTTCAGCAGAATAAACCTGTGAGGCTTATAAATATGAAGAGAGGAAATCCTGGAAGTGAGGCCCCTGGATGACTCCAAAATTAATAAAATGCAGAGACAGCGTCTGTTAAAGCACAGAAGATACTATTTTCAGGTCGAAATATCCTGCCTTCCCCACTGCCCCAAAGTGAACATCTTCCCTTCATCCAAGATTCATCCTCAGCTCGTTAGGTGCGCTCTACTTTTTAAAATAAATCAACTCATTAAAACCAATATTGGTTTATTAAAATAGCAAGCAATTAGTGCCTCTTATGCGGATGCTTGGGGGCTCTTTAACATTAGATGACTTGAGCCCATTTAAGTCCATTGTTCTCGATTCTCGAATTCTGATGTGTGCACCCCAGACAGAAGTTGCTTAACTGCACTTTTTCAACGTAAAGAGCAAGTTTGCCAACTATTTTGATGCAGATGGAGGAGAGAAATATGTCACAGGATGCCGGGAGGACCTTGGGAAGGTGGCCTGTGCAAACCTGCACCTTTCCAGCTGGCCGTGGTGGTGCACACAGCGTGAAGGCCCTTCCTTCCTGCAGGTGGGGCAGGGGCTGGATCTTCTCAAAGGTCTGAGCCTTCTGTCATTTTGGCTCCTCTAACTTGATAGAGATTTCATCCAAATTCTTCACCAATGAGCAAAAGAAAGCCTTGCTACAGTCTAGTTAGATCATGGATTTGCATCTTCATGTTTCTCCTTCATCTACAAGCCAATCCTGCAGTCAGGGCTGAAAGCAGGCAGTGTGGCCTGCAAGTTGGGGTGTGGTTAGGTGTCCTCGGGTTAATCTCCCCTCTCAGTAACTCCATGTGACATAAAGGTAAGGGCTCCGCCAATATTTGAATGAGAAATAGACTGTTTACCTGGTACAAGGATGTCAGTTTAAAGACAGAAGGGTAAAAAAAAAAAGAAAAATAAATAAATAAAGACAGAAGGGTGTCTGACCCAAGTCATGGCATTTTAATTGCATGTCAGAGTTGGCCAGTGAGTAAGGAAGACCAAAGAAGAAATGATGCCTTTGAATTCTGATGTTGACAAAGAGTATTGAATAGACAGTGGGCTACAGAAAAGAACGTCTGTCTTGGCAGAAGTGCAAGCAGAGTTTGGAGGGAAGGACAGTGAGACTTCATCTCACATCCTTTGGAATGTTACCAGGAGAAGCCAATTCTTAAAAGGGGGTATTATTTGCAAAGGTAGAGGGTCAGCAAGAGAGGAAGGCCCTCAGTGGGATGGATTGACTCAGAAACGTGGTCAGTGGGGATGATGAGGACGGCACAGGGTCAGGCAGCTTCTGACGTGTTGCTGAGTCAGAGTAGACTCAATGGCACCTAGTGACTTGGAAGAAGAAAGTATATTTATTGTCATTTAGAGGAACTGGGGGTCAGTGGGCTGAAAAATGGCCTCCATATTTTTCATGCTTCTAGGTGTTATATAATTGAAGGTGCAGTGGTGCTTGGTGAGCATATACCAATTTAAAAAATAATAAAAAAGGATTGAAGGCAGGTGGGAACTTTTTCAAGAATTTGGTAAGAAAGCCTTTCCCCTCCCACATACTGTTCCTGTTTTGTTTACAGCCCCTTTCAAGATGAGATTGTTTTTTTAATCAGAACTGAGAAGCCTGATTGGATTACTGCTCCGACTCATTAAATCACATTCTGCAGCCTCCTCACATGCTTGATTTACTATTTGGGGAGGATCTTAACCAGGAATGGGAACAAAAAGGCCCTGGTGCCATTGTTTTGTGAACAGAAGTACTTCCTCCTTCAAGCTGGTTTGGGGAGTTGGACAGAAAATGACACAATTTAAGTAACTAATTAGAAGACACGAAAAGGGTGGAAAAAACACTAGAGAGAGAAGTGAAAGAGATCATTTCAAAGAAATTCACATTTAAAAATTGAAATCTGCATTTGAAAGATGCCAGGGTATCTCATCAGCATTGGCACGAAGTTAGTATTCCCTTGTCATCAGACACCACTCAGGCTGTTGAAACTGGAGACCTGGTTGAGCTGAACTCTAATAACCTCACGACAATAACGGAAGAGCTGATACTTGGGGGGGGTGGGGAGAGAAAAGAAAAGAAACCCACAAAGTGTTTTGCACATCCAGAGACATTTGCTAGAAACCTTAGAATGCACCAGCTAGGTTAGTGACTGACCAGAATGGATTGTTTTAATAAGGAGCCCCATTGGTACAGTGGTTACATTCTCTGCCGCCAGCTAGAAAGACCACCAGTTCAAATCCATGAGCCACTCTAAGGGATAAAGACTGCACTTGTAAAGATTTACAGCCTTGGAAAAGCTATAGGGGAGTTCTCAGCCCTGCAGAGCCTTCTGAGGATCAGAATTAACTAGGTGACTGTGACGCTTTGCATTCGACACCATCATAGATGGAACCTCTTTCCCACCTCACTGAAACCCTCCAGGTGTTCCAGCTCTTACCCCTTACATTTTCAACTTCAGAGTTAGTCCTCTAAGATGACATTGAGATGGACACCTTACCCTAAGAGGACATTCTTCTAAGAGATGAGAGCTTGTATTTCCATCACCTCTTTCCAAAGCACTTAAAACAATGGGACCAGAGAAGTGTCTTGGTAATGCTTGGTTGCCAACTAAAAGTTTGAAAGGTCAAGTCCACATGGAGGTGCCTCAGCAAAAAGACCTGACAATCTACTTCTGAAAGATCAGCCCTTGGAAACTCTGTGGTGGCCACCAGGGGTGCAGAATCAAATCCGTGACAGCTGGTGGGAATGACGAGAGAAGCATTTCCTCACCACAGAGCTCCAGATGCACACACGTAATCAGTTCATGCGTGCGTCAGACCACCTCTTCATAACTATGTGGCCAGCCCGT